GACCTCAGAGGTCACCGGTTGACCTAGGACCTTAAAATCGGGTACCAATCTCTGCGTCTCGTAACGGCGCACACGCTCGTTTTTTCCGCGACGCGCTAGCTCCACCAGGGGCGAAACGGCGAGGGGGGGGGTCGTACCCGCCCCCCCCCCCCCTCGGCCGGCGCGTATGTAGAAAACCAATAGGTCCGGCGAGGGTTAAGACGCACACTGGCGGGGCTATTCCCCCCCCCCCCGTATCTCCGAAACTATTGGACGGATTCGCAAAACTCAAACGGCGTTCGATAGCCCTGTTGCCTTGAGAAGATTAATTTATTTGACCTCAGGGTCACTGATGACGTCACAGGTCAGGTCAAAGTTAAAAATTTTCACCGTTCACGGGCCTTCTAGACAATGCGTTATAACATTGATTAAAAGGCATTTTATCGAAAATCATCGATAAAGCGTTGGTTGCCTAGTACAGATGTTGCTAAAAGACGTCACTGATACCAGGTCAGGTAGCCTAGAGGTCAGGTCACCAAGGGTCAACACATGACCCCAACTTTACTAGGGCCGTGTGATGCATGTTTTGTGGCTTATTTTTCATTTCCAACTCAATGGTTTTGGTTACACAGCCATGAGGGACGGTTTAGGTTACTTTCTGGTGGAGGTTAGGTCAAGGTCTGGTAAAAGGTCAAATTTCGAAGTTGATACTTTTGCATAAAAAGGGTGCCTACCTATTTCGATGTACCTCATTACGGGGAATCCAATCGGTCGTAAAACGTCCTCAATTTTGCGACCGATACCCCCGAACCCGATTACGACACGCTGACGAAGTTTTGTGATACAATTCGAAAACTCCGACCCGAACGATTTCTTGGGGGATTTAAGTCCGGATGAACTTAAAAGATTCCGAGACATACAAGTTGTAGCTCCCAATGGCCTTATTACATCGTGCACTGCAACTTTCAAAGGACTCGGGCATCTACTGTAGCTCTGAAGCGGTGACAAAATTGCAAAAAAAAAAAATGTTTATAAAGCATATTCTTCTGTGCCTTCTGATGCGATAGTCCGACACTATACAGTGTAGGTAGCTCATGCTGATATAGCTCATGCAATAACCCGAGTTTCGAGCATCTAGGATATACCTGAACTGGGTGACCTAAACTTCTGAGACCGGGGTTCCACAATTTCACACGCGATTAGAAATTGATGTATGACAAGCTATGCCAAGTTTCGCGGCGCTTTTACGGGCAAAAATTGCAAGTTTGACCAAAAACGTCCCACTTCCCCAAGCGAGGATTAATGAAGCTAACATTAAGAATGTGACTGAAGCTGCTTTCCTGTACCTCATTCTGTTAGCCTTTACATTTTTCCGGTCTTTCCCTATCCGTGTGTGTGGGCGCGGGTTCGGCCCAATGTGGTTCGACTGAAAACATGACATCTAGTCCTTTCCGCCCGGCCTGACCGGCGCGGCGGACCCGTGCCAATCCTCCCGAACTCGCGGGGCGCGGATGGGGAGGAGCGGCCCGGCAGTCCAACCCCTCTGCGCTAACAGATGGATGGACAGGGGAAATGTGATACTTGTCCTATAACAACAAACCGGCGTTCAGCGCTAGGGCCATCTACTGGTCTAGAAACGTATCTCTATGTCGGCAAGATCCTCGCCAGGTGGTGTAAAGGTCGCGTGAAACGCACCCTTAAGTACCTACCTACGTACGGGAGCGCTATTACGCACCAGAGCTCTGCTGGTCGAATTCGACCTCTGCAGAGGTCTGCAGAGGTCGAATTCCTACGCATTTTTAACATCTAGTTCTAGTGCATCAAGGACAGAAAATGATGTCCTCTGCACAGAGATGTAATGTTTTCGTTCAGTCGCGCTTGATCACTTCTCACTTCTCTCCGTCAAAGACGAGATAGGTTCCCCGTCGAGAGAAGTCGGACGTGGTTGTTATCTCAACAAACATTGTTCATCGTACGTGAGTCATTGCCCCGCTTGGCATCATTCCCAGGCTGTGAGCACTGAAGCTGTGCGTTGCCATCTGGCTGCCCACGTGGAATATGTTTTCTCCCATCAGCATCATATAACGATAATTTTGGCCTATCAACTCGAACCCACACCTTAGTGTCGCAGTACGGGTTCTGACTGTGCGCCCGCCGCTCTTTCTTCCTCAGATTGACCAGGATATGACGGCTCTGCTGAACATGGCAGACGCCGAGTTCAGTTTCCAGAACAAGGGCAAGATCTACCACCCGCAGTGGTACGCACCTGAAGGTAAGGCGATGAGCTCGGCCTGGCAGCTGCATACACTTATTACATGCGTCGGCGTTTCAGTTCGATACACTGTTGCTGGATCAGGTTATCCCAGTACCGTCCGAGGATATATTTTTATTTTCCTTAGTTTTTCGTTCGATAATTTACTCTCTAGGACACTGCAATGACGATTATTTTCAGCGCTGGTCGTTATATTTGGCCATGACCGGTCACAATAGCCCCGTTTACATAGGGATTGTTGCAAGCTTATATCTCCGCCCGTTATGTTGCAAGAGATGCCAGTGGTGCTTTGCAATTTACAAAATTATTCCCTCTAAATATGCAAAGAAGTTATCCTAAAAGTATGTAAATACGGCATCGAAATTATCGCAAAATAAATGAGCTAGAACCTCGTCGAAAATGCTATGTAAACGCGACTCACATTAGGTTGATAACCGTTCAACATCGTCAACTTGATCCGTTCAACACCGTCCCAGCCCGGAGCCGCTTCTCTTCATGAACATCGTGTAACTCCACCCCGCCCTGTCTTCCATCCGGCAGCGCTGCTGAAGAGTCCGTCGCAGATCAACCGGCACGCGGCCGACATGTGGAGTTTCGCCGTGCTGCTCTGGGAGATGGCCACCCGAGACGTGCCGTTCGCCGAGTACTCCGCCATGGAAATTGGTGGGTTCCAGTGGGATTGGTGGATGGGGTTTGATGGGAAAGGTTGGTGTGTTGAGGTAACGTAGATAGATATTTGGCAGGACGTTCTTGGAGAATAGAATCTGTTTGCTGTGGTTGGTGGAATCGGTGGGTTATGATGCCGGTTTCTGATGGGCTGGATCTGACTGAGTCTTCGAGGGAAAACAATGATCGTGTGCAACTGGGATGTAGGGGTTTGTATTGCGCAGCAGAGACGACTATAGAATACAGTCTACAGGTGCAGCTAAGGGCGTCTTCTAAAATGAATATTTTACATCAGCTGACTAAGATGGTAGTAGCCCACATGACTTACGGTCCCACCCCTTCCTCAGGTATGAAGATCGCCACAGAGGGTCTTCGTCTAGTGACACCTCCGGGCATCTCGGCCCACATCTCCCGGCTCATCTCCATCTGCATGAACGAGGACCCCAAGAAGCGGCCCAACTTTGACCAGATCGTGCCCATCCTCGAGAAAATGGTCGACAAGTAAGCTGTCAGCGTGAGTCGGCGGCGCCCGGCCCTCCCGCCGGGTGTCGCTACGCTCGCCGCGCGGCGGTCGATCCCCCACACCCACCCGTCCCTCCTTCACAAACACAGCGGTGTTCGGTGGTGCATTGGCTCAGATCCACAGCCACTGATCCTCCGCCCAAAGCTTTGACCCAAGCTGCTTATCGTCGTCTTTCGATGGAATCATGGCCGACTTATACGCCATGCCTTATTTTTGCTGGCGTGCAATCCGGAGTATTGTCAGCAGCTTCCTCTAAGTCGACAATGATCAAGTTTTCTCTGGTTGATTTTATTTTCATTTAGCTGCATTTTTGTTCTTGGTGGCTTATTTGATGCCCAATGCTCATTGCTCATGCACAATGCACATAGTTTTTTTTTTAACTATGAGCTTATAGCCGGTTGGACTTGGGCAGAAGTCTTCGCTTTCTTAAAGTCTACGATTTCGCACTTCACTTCCGTGTTCATTGGTCCCTCATTCGAAAGCTTCCTTGAATCGAAAGATGACCGAAATTGGCACGTCCCTTCTTTGAATATGTCATATTGTCATCTGCACTCCTTCCCTTCGAGAGCTTCCGTGGGCACGCGGCCGTGAGTGCCGGCCCTGCCAAACTCCCCCGACGGCCTCCGTCTCTCAGATGGCTACTGATGGGCCGTCCCCGCCGAATGGTTGACTCAGACTCACAGTTGGAGACCCGGCGCCGGAGGTGTTCCCGCGCGGAGCGGACTAAGTGTAGGAGTAGTCTCACCCTCCACTGGTGCCAGTCTGCACCCACCGCCGACCGGCGCGGCGGCGGTGTCCGGCACCGTGTCGGTAACCTTGGTAACCGCGTCTTTGGAGTCGTCTGCTCTCCGAGGATTAACACCAAATAATAGTCATTGACATGAAGCGAGACGCGCGCGATATTGTGCTGCCATAGCTTAGCGATGGTGCTTGTTGTTAATATTTATGTGTATTATTTCGCCGGCTTTACATCGGATCGACAATTGGCGAGTGTCGTTTTTGTGTTGACGCAATTATCTCAGAAAACAGCTGCAGGTCCATTCAACAGAATGGCGAACGCTTAGCCTAAATCGGAATCTCCTGGTGTTTTGTTCAGGAAATTTGTGTCGTCTGTCTGTCTCATTGGTGCCAGTTTACCATTCACGTCTGGTTGGCCGCTCGACCACTCATTTTATATAGCATCACATTTCGTCCACAGCTGCTGCTTGTAGTTTCGATGACGCGAGTGTCGGCGAGTTTTGCATGTGTACCGTGGTGCTAACGTTGTGCCTTCGATAACGTGATGTGAACGTCACAATATTGGCCTTAATATAAATGGTACTAACAGCCATTGTTTTCACTGTTGCAGTCAGTTAGGGTCTGCGGTTTAGCTGCTTCATTTTCCTGAAGCGGTATTTTTTTCGTGAGGAAACCTGTTCCTCGCTTCGTTCTGTTCGTATTCGGATTTGAACGCTAGGACTTCATAACGGGCGTTCCTTGCCTGTCTTCTTGTCAGAGAGCTCATTTGGGAGCGTTGTCTACTCATTTCGTCCCAACTCTTTTCTCCGTTCACACTCGCTGTGCTATGTATAATGTATATATGCACATATGACTAATGCGCTGCCCCGCCAGCGCCCGCCGACTCACACACAGCGCGGAAAGAACTCATTACTGACACACGAGTGAAGGTGGCAAGTCGCTCGGACGCGCCCACACGCCTTACCAATGTTCGCGTCACTGACGAGCACATGGTCTATCAGATGCCGACACATGAGTTCAAAGTTCTGCAGTATCGGCAGAAATACACACGACATACAAAATGACGCGAAAATGCGTACAAATGCGGCACTCACAACGCAATGCAATAAGATGTGTTTTGTTCACCTGTGAAGGAACAACTCAAAACGTTAATTTCTTGGTCCCATCCAACACTCACTGTCACACAGTCTCTCCTTCAGCCCTGTAATAAAATACATCTCACAGTTCATTCACTCATGGACCACTTCTCTCCTGACGTGGAGTTTTCGATGTTTCTTAGGGCGTGTCCCTGTCAGCCTGTGGCACGCGTCACGTTATCTGAGCTTCAAACACAGCATGACTGAGGCAGCTTCACATGCACTGCCGAGGCGAAGCGATATCTCAGAGACCCTACTCTCGTCCAGTACTCCACACTTCACAGACTGATCCGTCTCTGCCTGACATGGCGTTCGCTTTTCAGCTTCCCGCTGCTGACCCCGTCCTCTCTCGCCGCACGCTCCGCTCAAACCGCCTTCGTCAGTCCCTCCTGGCGTACTGCGGGTAGAGGCCGCTGCTGTTCCACAGGTCGTCGCAGCTCCGATGGCTCGACACCGTGCCGATGCCGTCGTCCACGACGTACACCTTGTCGGCGGCCGACGCGTCCAGCGGCAGCCGGCCCTCGCGCACAAACTTGTAGAACATGTGCTGCATGTTGTCGACGAACTTGCGCTGCTCGATCGTCTCGGCTCTGTACACGCCCAGGATGGCCTCGATGTCGGAGCGCGCGTCCGCAATGAAGCCGGTCTCGCCTGTGGAATGGTTAGCTGGTTAGAATAAACAGACTTTGAATCAGTATGATGGAACTGTTTACGAGCACAGAAGTTATGCTGAAATCATCGAGTTATTGGATGAGTAGCTTTCGTACCGTTCGTTGTAAATCTAAACCAGTTAGTGTCATTCCGTTTTCCTCTTCGTATTCCACGCAATCCTCACACAACTCAGCGCGTTTCGTTCTCACGAACACCCCTTCCGCACCACACCCTGTGGCACGCGCACGTCACCCTCCCCCAGTCACTGAGGCCCTCTCCGACTCACCGTGGCGCTTCTGGGCAGCCAGGTAGAAGTAGGCCCGGTTGGTGAAGTGGCCGGCGGCGCGGCGAGCGGCCGCGTACAGCGGGCACACGGTGCGGACGTCGCTGACCATAGTGGCGATCTGGGTCCACGGGTCCCCGCCGTGGCGCAGGTACAGCCGCGTCGCCCGGTCACGCTGGTGGAATAGAGGGGACATGCTGTTATTGCACGGGCTTAGGAGAGTAGCAGATGCCTACTAGTTGTTGGCAGAGTGGTGGCAACTGATGATTTTGTGAACATTTAGCAGTGATATTGCTCGATACAATTGGCAGCAGGAAACATCAGACTTTATAACACGTTCAATGGGAATGTTTATCATTTTGCTTTGGCTTGGGCATCGTATTTGATCATCCCTTCTCCATCATGAATACCATTGTCATTCAATTCTTAAATGAGGAGTTGAGGTACCGCTCAACTCACCAGCTCTCCGGGGAATGTTCCCAGCGTGGTGGCCACGTACGACTCGGCCACCGAGCTGACGTTCCACTCGCGCACCCCGTACAGGTCGGGCGCGCCGTCCTGCTGCGCGTTCACGCCCAGCACGATCAGCGGGTCGGGCAGCTCGCGGCGCCGCTCCTGCGACTCGGCCCACGCGTCGTGCACGCTCTCCGTCAGCAGAAAGCCGTCCCGAACCAGCCAGTTGTGGCGCGGCTCGTTCAGACGCGGCAGACCTGGTGCACCGAGACGGGGCCGTGTTAGGTAGTTGGTTAGGTTGGGAGATGATATGGCAGTCATGGCACGATCATGATAACGTTATAGATGGTTGATGTGCTTACCAGGACTGTATGTGCACAAAAGGATAGCGAATAGCTACATCAAACTTCAAAGTACGTACATTTTGTGTTTTGCGCTGGTGTATCAAGTGAAACGGCAGATACTCATAGTTCCCTGCTTTAAACGGTCTGCTGCTAACCAGCTCTGCCGAACCTTGCTAATATCCCTCACTCCCTTTCCCTCCTTTCTCCCTCTTCCTCAGGATACAAAAGTTCCCTGGTCACTGCCTGGTGAGCATCCGGTCGGTGACCTGCCCCCAGCCGGTGACCTGTGGTGACGCTCACCTGTGGGTATGCGGTGCCAGACGCGCGGCACGGCCTCCAGCAGCTGCTGCACGGTGCGGTTCCTCAGACAGCGCGCGTCGGCGCAGTCCACGTACGACAGGTACTGGGCGTTGTTCTCGGACGCCTGCCGCAGGTCCGGCATGGTGAAGTTGTCCAGGTGACCGGAGCCGCCCGTCAGCCACATGTTGGTGTAGAGCTGCTTGGAGCGCGGCACGGCCGTCAGCAGCGACATGAGCGTGGCGCCCGACTGGTGTCCCAGCAGCGTTACGCGCTGCGCCGAGCCGCCAAAGTGCTCGGCGTTCAGTGACAGCCACTCGAGCGCCGCCAACAGGTCCGAGAGGCCGTAGTTGCCGGAGGCGTGCGGGTGCGAGGCGCGCGACAGCACCTCGGACGCCAGGAAGCCGAGCACGCTGCGGCGCACGCGCACCGTCACAAACACAACGCCGTGCCGCCGGGCCAGCTCGGGCTCGGGTCGCAGCTCGGCCGGGGTGCGGCCGCTGAGGGTATCTCCGCCGACAAACACCACCACCGGCAGCGGCTCGGTGAACGGCACCCGCGGCGTGTAGATGTCCACCGTCAGGCAGTCCTCGGCGCCACCGGCCGGCGTGCCGTCGGCAGCCAGGTGCGGGCACGCGGCGCCCGGCGGCCCGGTGGCCTCCAGCACCCCGGTCCAGCAGCTGGAGAGGCCCGGCGGCGACTCGGCCGTCTGGAACCGGCGGCGGCCGACCGGCGCCAGTGCGTACGGCACGCCGTGGAACACGAACGCCTCCTTCTCCACCCGGCTGGCGGCGCACATAGGTCAGTCAGAGGGGCGGTCAGGGGGGCAGTCAGAGGGTCGGTCAGAGGGGCAGTTAGACGGGCGGTCAGAGGGACAGTGAAAGGACAGTTAGAGATCAGTCGGGGGCAGTTTTAGTCAGAGGGGCAGAGATCAGTCATGATATTGAAGTCAGTCAGCGGGAAGGTCAAAGGGCTGTTACTGGGCGGTCAGAGAACGTCGAGCAGGAGATGTTACTGTGGTTTTTATGACACGGGATTGTGACAGCAACATAATTCCTGGATATGGCGGGACAGGCGTTGTGTTCAGTCGGAAGTTGAGTACTTTGGATGTATCCACAATGCAAATCGCGACACGTTCTTTGATAACAATGGTGAATACCTGAGAGCGAATCATTCAATTGTCCCCACTTTGTGCTTGTTTTAGTTTCAGTGTACAATAGACACGTAACCAAACAGGGAGGTAATAAACCTAAGTACTACGAAACATTCCAGTAAATATGCATGCAATAATCAGTACTCACTAATCCGTTCCGTCATTGAGCACCAACCCCTGACCAGACCGTCGCCAAAAAGTGAATACCCACTGTGTAGCCCCCACGCCACAGTTCCCTTCTCCTGACGTTACGAAAGACTAACCCTCTGACCAGGCCGTCCCAAGACACACCCTCTGACCAGACTGTGACCGGAGACTCACCCTCTGACCAGGCCGCAGGAGGCCATCGTCTCCACGTGTTCGTCACTGACGATGCGCGCCGTGGCGTCCCAGAGGTAGGAGGCGTGTCTCCGGCGGCCGGTGGTGCCCTGGTGCGTCACCGCCACGATCACAATCACCAGGAACGTCACCAGCGCTAGCAGCACTGCCGGGTCATCATCATCATCATCATATATTTTTTGCGTCACATGGGAAGTAAGTAAGAAATAGAAAACATCAGAAATCAGTGACACAAAGGATCGGTGCAGAAGCCTACCGGCTTAAATTAAGGCACCTATCCTGAGAAAAAAAAAACGAACGAAGCTGAAGTCGAGCTTGAACAAAACATACAGCACATACAACAGAAAGGAAAGAACACCACCGGATGTGTTAATGATGGATGTTATTACTGGTGCGAGTGATTACTTTTTTGTTGTGCCACTGGCTGGTCTGGGGACGATTTAATTGTTGAACCGTCTTGTACTGAAGATAAATTTTTGGAACTCAGAGGCAACTCTGAGGCCGCTGCCGGTGTCGAGGCCCTCACCATACAGTAGTGTGTCTAACTGTGTTTGATGATCTAGTGTTGTGAATTCGTGTCCTAGAGTGGTTGATATGATTGTGAATAGCTGTGTTCGGTGTTGTTGGTAGAGTGGGCATCTAAGTATGAAGTGTGGTGTATCTTCTGAGTGATAGCCGCAAGCGCAGTGGGGAGTGGGACATTTTTGGATTTTATATTGGTGAGCGTTCAGGATGGACATATTGAGGCGTAGTTGGGTGTGTAAACGATTGCCTTCTCGGCTTCCGAAGGCGAGATATGGAGGTGGTTTTTCAGTGCCTAGGTGTTGCTCGAGAGCTGCTTTAAATGATTTGAGGGTAGGAAGAGAGCGGATTGATTCGGGAAGGTTGTTCCATAGTCTGGTCGTGTCTGGGATGAAGGATCTTTTAAAGGATAGGGTTCGATGGATTGGTAATGTATGAGTGTTTGAGTTGCGTAATGTCCGGTTTGTTGCATTTTGTCTAAGGTCGGGAAGCATAGTTGTTATGTAGGTGGGCATTGTTTCTTGTTCGTGTAAGAGTTTTTTGTAGAATATGAGTTTGTGTTTGGTACGTCTGGTCTTGAGTTTTGTCCATCCTAGTTCCCGTCTGAGTCCGTCCGTTGGTGTCCGTAAGTCTGTACCAGTCACTAGTCTCGCTACCCTGTTTTGCGTTCTTTCAAGTCTGATTTCGTCGGTGACTGTTATTTGTCCGTCGTATATCACGTCGCAGTAGTCGAAGTGTGGCAGTATGTATGTTGTGTAAATTTGTTTAAGGACTTCTCTCGGTGTCATCCGGGCTATTGGGTAAAGTGGACTCAAAGCAATGTTGACCTTTTTTATAATCGAGTTTATATGCGCGTGAAAACGGTTGTCAGTTGAAAAGATGACTCCAAGGTGTTTGTGATTGTTTTCTTGTTGTATGGTTTGTCCTCCGAAAGTGAGATGCGGGGAGCGTAGTAAACTTTTATTGCTGAATGTCTGCTGTGTAGTCTTTGTGGAATTGAAGGTGATGTTCCAATCTCTTGCGTAATTTGCTATAGTGTCTAAGTCTTGTTGTAGGGAAGTTTGTAATTCGTCTATGTTTTGACTGGTGTGAGAGGCATAGAGAGAGGTATCGTCAGCGAAGAAAAGAATGTCATTTGTCACTTTGTCTGCTAGTCCGTTGAGATACATCATAGCGAGAAGGGGTCCCAATACTGAGCCTTGGGGACAGCCTGCGTTAGTCGTCTGTGTTGTAGAGAATGTGTCACTGATAACTACCTGTTGTCGCCTGTCGTTCAAGTATGAAGTCAGCCAGTCGAGAAGTCGTCCCGTTATATTGAATTCCCGTTCGCATTTAGTCAGTAGTCCTGTGTGCCAGATCTTGTCAAAGTATTTGGAAATGTCTAGGTATATTGCTGTAAAGTCTCGTCCGTCGTCCAAAGCTTTGTAAATTTTGTGTGTCAGATAAGTCAGTTGTAGTTGGGTACTGTGTCGCGGTCGGTATCCACTTTGTTTGTCCGATAGTAAGTTGTTTTCAGTTATATGCTTGTAGATTCGATTAAATACAACTTTTTCTAATATTTTAGAGAGACACGGTAAAAGGCTTATGGGGCGATAGTTTTGGGGGTCAGATTGAGAGCCTTTATTTTTATATATCGGGTGAACTATAGCCTCTTTCCATGAGTCCGGAAATATACCAGATCTGAGGGATTTGTTAAAGAGTTGGGTAAGGGGTTCGTAGATAAGCAGTGCTGTTAACTTTAATATTTTGTTCGGAAGTTTATCAGCTCCACATGACTTATTGGGATCTAGAGAGTTGAGTATTGAGAGGATTTCACGTCCAGTCACATATATATTTTCTAACGGTGGAGCGTCTGTGTTAGAGTAAACAGTAGGCGGGGCTCGTTCGTTAATGTCATGTTCGAAGTGAGATTGTTTGGCAAAGTAGTCGTTTAGTAGGGTTGCTTTTTTGTCGTCATCTGTTATAATGTCACCGTTTGGTTCTTCTAAGGGTGGGATATTCTGGGTTCTTCTACTACCTGTAATGTGTCTAAGTATTTGGTGGTATTTGTATGGGGTGTACTTGTTTTCAGTGAGCATGTTTAGTTGGGATTGAATATAGTTCTTCTTAAGCCTACGATTCATATCTGTTACTTTGTTTCTTTGTGCTTTCCATTGCTGCCAATTGTGTTCTGTCTGTTTCTCTTTGGCCCGCTTGAACAGTCTATCTCTCTTTCTAATGTTTTGTTTCAGTTGACCTGTGATCCATGGTTTGTTTTTGTGTTTGCTGTATACAGTTTTAGTTAGGATAGCATCCTTTGCAGCAGTTAAAATGGTTGATGTGAATAGTTTGGTAGCTTCGTCGACGTCTTTGTCAAGTATGTGCTGCCAGTCTGTGTAAAGTAAGGAGTTGGTGAGTTTTTCCACATCCATGTTGTCATAGTCCCATATTTCTTTAATGTGTGTTTTCATTTCTGTCTTGCGGGTAGCGGCGAGCACACGGTGAGTCGGGCAGGGCGGGCGGTGGGCGGGTGAGTCGGGCAGGGCGGGCCCTGGGTGGGTGAGTCGGGGCAGGGCGGGCCCTGGGTGGGTGAGTCGGGGCAGGGCGGGCCCTGGGTGGGTGAGTCGGGGCAGGGCCGCCAGGGCGGGCCGAGAGCGGGTGGGACTGGTGGGGTCATCATTGAATCAGGACTCTTGAACCAAGAGTGATTAGTATAGTGGTGTGTTTGTGTGCTTTTATAGCGTGATGTCAATGGTAATTAACGGGATGCATTCATGTTAAATAAGATCTAAAGATAGAGAGTGAGAGTTTGATTTAAGGTGGAATTATTATCTAAGATTCTCGAGTGGATCAGCGATAAATAACACGTTATATTAGATAACTCCTGGCTCATTTAATGTACGTACGATCCTAAAGGACCCTTCTGGTATGATTTCGCTGTCACGCAATCTTCTTGTATCGTAAACTTTGTTTCAATCTGAGCGTGAGAGAATGCAATTGGTGTAATGAGCCCATGTGGCCAATTATCCCTGCAGGTACACACACGTTAAAAACCAATTTGAAATCACCACACGGCAATGCGATAAACATGTCATCTTACTGAAAAATTCGGGCATCAAAATACTTCACTCGACCGCGGAGAATGACACTATCATTAGATCATCGAAACAGCATAAAGAACGATAGAAAACACTGGGAAAGCTCAGCAGAGTAGAGTTAATATTGTTTGCATCATTTCACATTTAAAGGTCAAATAACTTTGGTCCTTTTTATGACGGCGTTACGTGCTCCATTTATGGAATTCGAGCTAGGCTCGGTCTAGTCGGCTCACCGATGATGATTTTCGTTTTGGACGGCGCGCAGGTGCGCGTGCTCTGATCGTCGGCACCTCCCTCTGGGTCAGCGTCAGCGGCCAGTCGGCTCAGCGTCGGATCAGGCACTCCCAGAGAGACCATCCGCTGAGATTCGCTGGTGGTCTCCACCGTGTGGCGCCGCTCCTGTCGCACAGAGGTCAGTGGGGTCAGCGGAGGTCAGCGGATCAGCGGGGGTCGGAGGTGAGCCGGAGGTCAGCAGAAATCGGCAGAAGCGAGGATGGGTTCACCATGGACAACGCTCCTGTTGGACATAGGTCGTCAGGTGTCGCGGTAGGCTTCTGGTCACTCTGTGGCGTTCATGTCGAGCGGAGAGCCACTGCTGAAGTCATTGGGAGGAATTTGTCCAGTGTCCGTCCATCGTTAACGATTCTGAAGGGTGAAGCGGAGGGCGAAGATTCTGGGTAACTTTTATCGTTTTTCTGAGAAAAAAAATTATATGCATTCCAAGGTGAAGCCCTACTGAAAGTCACTTGCAGTATGTAGTTACCTTATACTCCGCGATCATAATATGAACCCCAGAAGCATTTGATCATGACTATTGACTATGTCCTGATGCAGGATCGGTCTGATACTGCCAGTGAACGTGGAAGACTGAACCCAGGTCGACTTCGCCGCGCAGGTGTGGGTGACGCACGGTTTTTATTAAACGTTCTGCGGTCAGGGGAGCAGACACCTAAATTAGAGACGGAAACACCCGACCTGCCGCTGGGCTGCCACTGCGCACCCTGCAGTGATCCGATAGTCACAGGCAAGATTGATAGTTGCATTAATGTCCGCTCACGAGTTAATTGCTCGTGATGACGGGTTTGGTGTGAACGGGCGGTGGCGCTAGCTCGCTCGCCGGGGACGGCGGGTACTCACCACGACCTTCTTCCTGGGCGGTGAGAACATGGTGGTGAGTCGGTCGGTGAGCCGACGGAGGGGTGAGCTGGCGACTGGTCGGCCGGGGGCGGACGATAGGCCCGGAACCTGCAACAGTCAGAGAAACGAGATACAGTGAGGGAACGGCGGTGTGTAGAGAGGGGTCTGGGGCTTGGGTAATGGCAAAAGCCGGGACCAGTGTCTTATCTATTAGCCACTTATTTCTGTATCTCAGCATTGTTATGGCAGAAATGTTGTAATGGAACGGAAGCTATGTTCAGCCCTCTGCTTTGTCGACTAAGAAGTGTTTATTTTAAGTTTATATTAAGAGTCGTGGATGGGTACTGAGAAGTCAGCGGCCCTCCGACGTGACCGCGCAAAATTCAGGGCGATCTCCTATTTCTTCGAAATGTCTAAATGCTACTGGTAGAAGACAGGTCATGGATGTCGCCCTCGCTTCCCAGGCCGCTGGACAATCACAGAGCACATCGGGCGCACAGTGCACAGCCGGCAGTGGCTGTGCACTGCACTGGGAACGGCGCTGACCCGGCCGTGCAAGTGGCGGACCGCTAGGCGGCCTCGTGCACCGTCAGACAAAACATTTCATGGAACACAATCGCGCCGACTGTCGGTGGGTGCACGTGAACAGCGCCGAGGAAGTGGCGCCGATTAGATCGCGGCGATCGCCACCAGAGCTCCCAGCGCAGCCCTTGCTTGGGCGCCGGCCGTCGCGGCGGCGCGAGGGTCGCCGGCCGTGTCATTACCGCCCTGATTGCCTTTGTTGGCACCTGGGAGAGCGCATGGAGAGCATGGCTCGGGCGACCTTGGGCGGCCTGCAGTCGCCAGCGACAGCCAAACCGTGGCATTCCTATCACACTGGCCGCAGTTGGCTCACAGAGACACAATCTCAGAGACCGGCGCGTCGGGTTTTGATGGCGGCATTTTTCCGTGGGGAGGACCGCAGCTATTCAGCGCGGGGACCGGCCCGGTCTGTCCGGCGGTGTCTGCGGTGGGCCGGGCGGCCGCTGGAGCCTCTGGTGCCGGCGGTGCTGTTTGCGGTGGTGCCGGTGAGCAGCCCCGGTGCGGGAGCCGGTTCCCACAGTGGGCCCGGCGGCCGCTGCAGGCCTCCTCACCGCCCGGCCAGAATGGGCCGCCGACCAACCACACGGAGGGTCTGATGGCCGTAATGAGTCGGCTGCCGGCGGCGCGGCCGACCTGCCGCGGACCCGGTCACCAGTCCGGCGGCGCGCCGGTCGGCGACTCCTCCGCTACCGGCCGCGTCAGACACCGCCGCAGCAGCGGGGAGCGGCGGCCGGCAGTCTGGTGATTGGCAGAAATAAAACAAACACCGCCACACCGGTATTACAGAGGCGGCGAGCGCCGATGAGTAACAGCGGTAATTGGTGTATGTAATGTGTATGTATCCGAGGGGCAAATGGAATGTCTATTGTCTAGCCTTGAACGGTGCTTTTCTTGCCATATCTTTAGCCCCTTTCCTTCCTTCGCCGCCATGCAGTTTACAATGCTGTTGCAAGGAAATCAACAAAAATAGTTGTCGTTTGCACTTCGACAGAAACGATTTCCAACTGACAAACAGCCGGACAAATCGATGTTTCCAAGAAGGACACTGGTCGCGCTGGCTGATTTGTTTTTAATCGCCCCGCCACGCTGTGACAAATTGGCGTCGGCTCGACTCGTGGCGTGGTCCTCGACCGACAGGTGTGCCGGGCCGGCCAGACGGCCGCCGACCGCGGCTCCTCCGCTGCAGCAGCCGCCAGTCGCCCATTATCCCGGTATGAGCATCAATAGCCGGCGGCCCGGCGCAGCTCTGGATTACATTGGTATGCCATTCATGTCGATCTTGCGTGCGGTCAGCTCGTAGTTCGCAGCATCCGGCGACCAGCAGTGGCGGTGTAACGGACGGCCGCGCCCGCCCTCCGATCTCTGCGCCGCGCCGAGCACTGACTAAACGGCCGCGTGACCCGTTCGTCATTTTTATTGAATGAGATTGCCTGTCGCTTAGAATGGCCTTTCTAGTTAAACGTTGTTCATTATTATGCGGACGGAAAAGAAAGTCGAATTGCCACGAGGCGTCATAAAATTGCAGCCAGCAGCTGGGGTCCACCCCATCAAAAGAAAATGTCACCGATTAATGTCCTATCTCCTCATTGAAATGCCGTTTTTCTCTCGGCTATCGCGGCCGTCCTGGTTGTCCGTGTCGTCGCTGAACTATCGTGCCCGGCTCAAATCGCTCCGTCGAGCGACATGCCACTGTTTTCGCCGTCCGCTGCAGCACGGGAGCCGAGAAGGGAGCCGCGCCCGCCGGCGGTTGCCGCTGGAAGCCCCGTCGCGGAAATTATTCAGCAATATGAAGGGCAGTCACGGACGTATGCACATGAGTGGCGGCCACTGGCTACCCGGGTTACGGGCGCGCCTGCTCACGGGACCCGCGCCAGAGACGGTGAGCGGCGGACAGGCCCCCGGTGCACGCCGCCGGTCGCCGGGGCACGGTATCTTTGTCGCCCATCGGTGCGCCGCGTCCTGAAGTGGACGCTCGTGCCGGCGTCGGCGAGCGGACGGCGGCCGCGGTCACGCTCAGCTCTGACTGCTCCGTGACGGTCCCCGCCACCGCCACCCGGGTCGGCGGCACGCCCGACACACAGACAGACACACAGACAGACAGACGGCGGGGCGGGGCGGGGCGGGCGGCGCGGCGGGCGGCCACCGGACGTCAGGCGGCCGCGCCGGCCACCCGGAGGTCGGCGGCGCCGCTGTTTTCCTGGCCCGATCGGCGATACCTGCACGCCAAATGTCACGCCCGGCGCCTGGCCTGATGGCGCCGTCACCGCCGTGATCGGGGGTCGGTCGGCGGCCACTAACGACATCCGGCCGGCGGCGCGCCGACAACAGCTCCCCGCGCGGCGTGACTGACAGACCTGCGAGGCGGTGAGCGGTGGCGGCGGAGCGGCGGCGGCAGCTGCTGGTGGCTCAGCGCTGTAACCCTGTCTGCGCGCGCGGGCGGCCGCGGGCCCGCCGGCCGCCCGGCCAGGTGTGGGAGGTCGTGCTCGGCCGGCCGGCCGTGACGCCGCGGTGTCACCTTCTGCGGCTTCGGCAGGTGATCGCGGACCCGTTCCCCCGCTCCCCAGCGCCCTGTTCGTGCTCACTGACTCAACACTTTCACATCACGAGCGGCGGGTGGCCGGCGCGCCGGTTCGTCATCTGCCCCCGTCCGCGGCACCTGGATGTCGTGCGATCTCGTGACGCCGCGCCGGTTTTCCTTAGTCACGACTGCGTGACGCTATCTCGATCGGGTCGGCCGGCTGATCTGACCTCCGGTCCTCTGACCGGACATTTCTCCCCGCGCCCTGCATGCCTGTCGATCCAGACCGGCGGCATTCCGGCTCTTTAGCGGCGCCAGCGGTGCTCCGCGCGATCCTCTCCCCGGTGACCCCTGACCCGAGCGCGGGGACTGCAGAGCGGACCGCCATCAGGACCGGCTCCTCCGGGTGCCGCTGCAGGCAGACCTGGTCCGCTCCGCGCGGCTCTCAGAAGACCCAGAGATCGGGGCAGCGCGACAGGGGCGGACGCGAGACGCACTGTCCCGCCAGACAGTGAAAAGGAGAGACGGAAGATCGAGGAGCTCTGAAATACCGCCGGATATCGGGCGATGAGCTCAGGAGACAGCTGCTCTCAGCACTGATAGCTGTCCGTCCCATTGATCACACGAAGGTTAGTTGATGGCAGGAGCGCCCCACAGGGTGATCGGCATTCCGCGGCCGCTTTTTTACGGGAATGCAGCGCACAGCCACAAAGGGTCTATAATGGTCCGTTCAGCAGCCGTAACCCGCCGGGTTGGGCAGCGGCGCTGTGACCTTCGTCACCTCTGTCCCCCGGGCTGGCGCTATCGGTGCGTGCAGCGATGCAAACCGCCGGCCGTTTATGTTCGATCTGGCGGTGTGTGTTGATAGGCACGACGAAATGCGCCGACAGTGGGGAGTAGTAGCCTCGGGCTCCAGGTGGGGAAAGGGTGGACCGATTCGGCCCTGCATTCCTCCTGGATCCGAAGGATTACCTCGACATTCGATCTGAGGCGGGGCTGCGCCGACCAAAAACAAATATTGTCCCAACGCGCATTACCGTTCTGCCGTGCCGGTGCCAAGAGCTTTAGAGCCCTTTGACGGCGGCTCGGGGCTCCCCTCGGCCTCCGACCACAAATACGGCGTCCCTGCGCGTCCGGTCGTCAGCCGGCGCCTGCCGCCTGTCGTTGCCGGTCCCGGGGGGAGCGGGGAGCTCAGCCCCCATCCGCTCCCGGCCGTCCCCCTGTGCGGGCGGATCCGGCACGCTGAAAGCTGATCAGACGCCAGCTGCCCGGGCACGTGCCGCCCCCTCACTTCCCGCGCCCCGGGGCGGAGACACGCCGGCGCCCGGCCGTGGGAGCCTGTGTGACCCGATTGTGGGCGCACACGCGGCGATAAAGGGCGCCCATCTGCCGGCTTTGGGGGATGTTTGGAGCGCCAGCAGGTGCTGCCGCCCGGCAGATGAGACCGGGGTGACGAGATACCCCGGCAGACGAGGCCGAGGCCTGACGAGATACCCCGACAGATGACACCGGGACCTGACAAAATATCGCGGACCGTGCCAGTGCGACAGCTGCAACGGCTTACCGTCACGAGTTTATACCAGACGCACCGTCACAATGGTCTGTCACAAATCGGGGTACCGTCACAAATCCATCATCCACCGTCACGTCTGTCACAGACGGGCAAGCACATCAACATGAGACGAGGTTCGATGAACGATCGTTTTTAGCGGTGGTTTTCTGCATACCACGCAAATCCTGAGGGCTTCTGTCCCGGTGAATATTGTGAGAACAAAATTTTTAATTTGGAAAGATGCATATTTGACCACACTGTGGATTATTGCCTAAAGGTGCGCCTTTATTCATGGAATCAGTGAACTTGCACACCGCTAAAAATGAAGTTATTCAGAATTTGTCTCGACTGATATTTGCAAAGACTTTCCATGAGGTTGTTACCTCATAAGCCCTCGGCTTATCTGCAAGCAACATGGGTATCGGTCCGTTCTGCAGCATAGCATAAACATGAATCAACAAATGTTTATTTAGATAGTCATGTTGGCTCGGGAGGGACCGTTTGAGGAACCGATTAAAAATGTGTACAAAATTAATGGCAGAAGTGTGACATTTAAACATGGAACGTTTACTCAGTTGTGTGACCGTATTACTCCCACCGCTGAAATTCATCAGTTGGCAGAAGGTACTGGCAGCGGCCAGCGCTGTTTTTAAATTTATGAAACGGTGCATTGGTACACTACGTACAAAAAGAGTGGTTGTAGGGCATTGCTAAGAATTTGGGTGTTACTGTTGTACCTGCTTTAGAAGAAGAACGGAACCAATTCCTCAGTCTTATTCCAGCCGGATCGATTGAATTCCGCCTTTGTGCGGCGGGGCGTTAAATCGACATGTGTTGATCATAGGCATCACTGCACCGCCTTGTTTGTAGTCTGTTATCACCGGCTCATCCCATGTTGGGTCGGCGCCGCCGACTTGTGATTTGTGTTACGGTCTCGGTCAAACGAATGTTGTTCACACGTTTGAACAGCACTTCGTTAGAGTAGTGTTTTTCTATTGAGAAGCCGGCTGAACTGCCCTTTTCAGCACCGATGACGGTACTGGTCTTTGAGCCGAGGTGTATTACTAACCTGTGCTGTGCCATGTTTTGGTTCATGACTGCCATGAGTCGTCCGTGCTTCCTTTTCAAAGGCAATGGGCACCGTGTGTTCGACTGAGGCACCGCTATTGGCCTGCGTTGTGAGTCAGATAAATGTCTGGCCGGGTATATGTCTGACTTGTGTTGTGTGCTCCGGTTATGACTGACCTGCGCTGTGCTCTCGGGTATATCACTGACCTGCGTTGTGCTCTCGGGTATATCACTGACCTGTGTTGTATGCTCCGGTATATGACTGACCTGTGTTGTGTTCTCGGGTATTTGACTGACCTGTGTTGTGTGCTCGGGCTGTGCGGCAGGAGCGGGAGACTCGGCCCCGATAGGGTCGGCCCGCTCCGTCTGCTGAACCTGCTGATCCTGCGGATGCTGCTCACTGTCAGCCATCTGTCGAACACAGGAGACAGCATATGGTGACTGGTGAGTACCGAAAAGGTGTCACCTCGGCCTCGCCGTTTTATCAAAACTTGGTTTTAGATGACAGTATGTATAGAAGTCAGATTTTGATATCATCAAATCATCCAATAGTTTATTGGTGTTTATGAAATTGAAGCGCCTCAGAGATTCGATAAGCGTCTAAATTTCCTGTTGCATGGTCAGTAACCGCTAACTAGATAATGGGTATAAATATTTTATTTCTTGCGGTCGCTCAGCAATAATCACTCACAGTTAGTTCAGCAACCCAGCCCGTTCTGGGTTTGTGTCCAAGTCGCAATGTTTGATATCGTTCGCAAGTTACAATCAAAAGCAGTGGCTGCTCTGGGCGCCTGTTTTATACCCGTAACGCCCAGATGGCCTCGGTCATAATATGCATAATCATTAGGTATATACCCAACCGTCGATTAGAATCGCAACACTCTCTGATACGTCATATTTGGTGAAATTTATTGCATCATTAGTTAGTTATTATCAACACATAATAGCGCATTATCATCCCGCCTTTAGCGTTGTTTGCTCTAGATGGGGTTGGCCCGGAGATTCGGTATAACTCCAAGGGGATGAGATACTCCATAATAGCAAGGTGTTAGCGCCAACTGGTCGCAAATTACCTGGAATTAGGTAATTTATCCACATCATGTTGATGTGTTTCACTCGGCCGGTCTCTCTGCACTTTATTGCGACCGGGGATAGCGCTGCTGTTGATATATGTGGCGGGGTTTACCGTCTATGTACTCTGGGTTTACCGGCCACCACCTGAGCTGACTGACAGATATTGTCCAAACAACTGCCGGCTACCGGCGAAAATCGTAATAAATAGTCGGGCCGTCTCACAATTATCTCACTCACAATAAATAGCAAAAAGGCCGGCTCAATCGAGCGTGTCGAAAACAATATAATCGTAAATAGTGACATACGAGACATTCAACAAGTTTTCCCACGATCTTGATTAAGGCGTGCAATGTCTACCGTTTAGTAAACGTTGAACGGGACGGGACAGTATTGTGCGCCGTCACGGGCCACTCAAATCGTCAGTCAAAATGTGAAGTCGTCAAACCGCCAAGAGATGTTTTTTTGAGAGATGTTTCATGAGATGCATTTTCCAAATGCACTCATGTAATGTGTTCGTCGTCATTGAATGATTGAATCCATTACGTATTTTCTTCGACGTTCTTGTGATATTTGTCAGTTACTTTGTGTGCAAATCATTGTCTCAACTCTCATGCTCCGCTGATAATGAATTTAATCCCCTTTTTGAGTACATATGGCTCTAAAACAATATTTGTGAACGATCAAATCAAAATATCAAAACAACATAACGGATTGCAACAGTCTGTGTCTCGAACAGTCGGGCAGCACCGGTGTCCTTTGGCCAACTGTGTTCGATCGGTCCTGTGCACAATCAGCGGTGGCCGGTGGTGTAATCGTCCCGCTGTCACGACGACACCACAGGAAGGCGGTCTGCTCAGCCGCCGCCGCCAGACTGTGACAAAGGCGCTCGTGAGCAGCGAATCACCATTCACCGCCAGTCAGGAGACGCCGCCAGGACGGGCTTTCGTACCGCCGAGGGCGAAAGGCATGCAACGTCGAAAAAGTCCCGGCACTCCAAATAACAAAAATGGGGATTATGGCTTTGGTATAGCCAATGGAGATGAGTAACTGCATTTGATAAAGATCGGCATGGATTCCAGGGATTGGCAAGGTGACCCTGCAAAGACCGACAGGAAATGTCTGTCTGTCTGTGCAATGGGAACACTTTTGATTTCGGTCCAGCTCTTCACACCTCTGAATACTGTCGAATGCCAACACTACGGTAGTGAACCAAAATACATGCTTTTTTATTAATCCAAAGCATCAATTCCATTTCTGTAATAGCCAAGAAAACCGAGAAATGTCGATTTTTGCAACTTTTTCACATATCAATTTTTGTTCTTTCGTATGGTGCATGTCTATATTATATAAATGGTTTACCTTGCAAACTGAAACCACCTTGTCTAGCAAGCGATGTAATACCTATAATTTTGCTGTCAGCTGTCTACCTACTCGCGGGTGGACGACCCAGACCAGTTTTGATCACCGGATATCAGATGTTTCCTCATATTCGTTCAAAAGCATGCACGTTAACTATAAATTATTGCATTTTTTCACCATAAATTAAACAAGACGTTTCATCGGGCATAAAGTAAAATGGGTCGCATGCAATGCAGTGACAGTCATTAGGTAAAGTCAGGAGGCCGGCTACATTTCAACATTTCCGTCATTACCACTCACAAGAGGTGCAAAAAATCTGGTAGTCGCTTGTAACTTATCTATTCATAAATAAATGAGGCCTCGTGTCCCCCAAATAATTCGTGAGCCATTATACGCTTCGATCATGTTTCACTTCCGAAACCCCAATGGACGAGCAGAAGCGTAACCGAAGAGGAGGTTAACATCTAAAAAGCACGCACAACAGTAACTCCCGTCGACATCCCAGGTCACCCCATACACACACCACTAGCAGATCCCCCATAGACCAGAGCCGGCCTCGTGCAGCCTCGGAGGACGGTCCGTCAGTCCGCCGTAGGCAGCGGTGCCGGCTCGTCGCCTCACCTCGCGTGTCGCGTCTCCCGTGTGACAGCTCCGGTTCCCGGCGGCGACGCACTACTGTTTCATTCCGGTGTCACCCCCGCACGCGCCCTGTCCCGGCAAAAACGCGCCGCCTTCTGCGGGCGCCCACGTGACGCGCCGGCTTCCTCCCCAGTGTTGGGCTCCTCCCACCGTCCCCTGGCCCGGTACAGTCTCTGGCAGCGCGGCCCGGTCCGCCGCGGTGGTACGGCGGCCGGCTGCCCAGCAGGGGTGTCTGTCCCCCTCCCCAGTTGCTCCAGGTGTGCCGACATGACCGATGACCGCAGTTACCACCCATTACACGGACCACGCACCCACGGGGGCACCGCTACACCGGAACGGCGCTGCGAACGTTTGTTTTACGGCATCGGCGATACCGGCACTTAGCGTGTGAGCAACGAGCGACATTATCTGAAATGTAGTGTGTGTGTGAAAGAGGAGGTGCTTTCTGTGATTGAATTTGATATAAGCGTGTGAATTAAAAGAGCTCGCTTTGTCTTTGTGGCGTCCGTGCGTTGTAAGTGAAGCCTTGCGTGATGCGTTTCGAGATCCTGTGTCTGTTTGTGTGAGTGTTAAATAACGGCGGCTCGGCTCTTCTTTGTCGTCTGTTTTGATCCATGTCCCATTTGAGTGTCATTTCTCTAGAACTAGGGTCAACTCTTATAGAGTGAATAAAGGAAGTCTAGAAAAGCAAGAAAGAACACATCATTTGGAATGAGTGCATGACGTAGGTATTGGATCTAAAACATTGGGTATGCTTTGATTTAGTAATCTGCAACTATAACTTGATATAGCACATTTAAACTATGAATAAAATCCGCATTGAATACATTTCTTAGTTCTCACTATTAGAAAGTAAATGTGCTCTTTCACTATACCATGTAATTCGTATTATTCAAATAACCTCATGTTCACATTTTTAACCGGACGAGGTTGAAGTGAACGTCTGCTATTTACGTACACTTTCAGCTTTTCCTCGGTCTACAGAAGCACTTAGGTACCTTCAGGTAAAAAGAGGCAGATGTTATTGTATTCCTCGGATAGGTTGTGAGTGCGACGAAAAGCAATTCAAGGAGCTCCTGCCGTTTGCTTCGCGCTGTTTGCAACCACTTAGCATTCTTTGATGATATCGCTAAATGAGATAGTATAGTAAAAATCAGCGAATGCAGTGGCTTCCATGATTCGAACGATACATAACTTCTCCTGATGCATAAATTTAGATGGCTGAATAAATAGTGGATGAGAAGCATGCTTGCGCGATTATCTAGTCACGATTCTAATTCCTATGCATTTGTACCTATATCAAGATGGTAAACAAAATTTTAGCTACATGGAGCTGCTGCAAGGATTTTTACAATTCCATACACACACGTTCACTTCCCACATAGTTAGGAACGACGACCATTATAAAAGGTCAGTGACAGCGCTCCTGACTTTCTGGTTAGCTTCCAATTTAACCAGAAATACCTACTTGAACGGTTCCCGTTCATGGGAGACCGGGAGCATTTCTCTCGCATAGCAGCTCCGATTGAGGATCTGCCCGGTGTCGGTCCGAGACGCGGGGGTGCGCTGGGCTGGCGATGATTCACGGCCTGGGGACAGGGCGCCCAGTCGCGGTCCGACGGTGTGTCCCATTGGAGCGACCCTGTCCCCTGTCCCCGGGCCGGCAGCCGGAGACCGTACCGGCGCGGCAGCTGCCTGGATTCCGGCCCATTGTGCAGCCGCCGCGGCCCCCGCCGCTCCCCATTGACTGGCCGGCGGGCCGCCGCCGTCCGATCTCCGACACCTGGGCCGCGCCGCGCTGGTCACCGGCGCGCCGCTTCCGCCGCCGCTGCTCCCATTGAGCGCGGCGTGTTGACCGCCGACTAACCAGCGCTCCAAATTGGCGGCTCGGCCGGCACCGGCCAAACAGGGACATGTGGCCGGTATAAATAGAGGCACGGCCGGCCGCACCTGAGGACCAGATGCTACACACGGGAGCGGGCTGACCTGCTCCCCTGCTCCGCATCTCTGCGCGCGCGCCGGACCGCGCTACCGAACCGCCTCCGCCGCGCCGGAAGCGTGCAATTATCGCCGCGAGCGGGTAGCGTCCCGTCGCGCCGACCCGCCGCGCAGGGCGGCCGGTGGGGACAGCGCGGGGCACTGGGGGCAGACGGCCCCACCGGCACACCGCTACAGTCCGGGCTACCGGAACGGTCCTTTGACACCAATCGGGCGGCTATTGTTCTACCGTTCAGAGGGACGGGACTGGTGGCCAAAATTTCTACAACAGTCCGTGTGTTTAGAAAACAAGGGAACATAAAGCAATTAGCTCGCGCCGCAGGAAGTCGGGTGAAACAATCGATGTTGTCCACAACTTGCGATGTAAATATTTGTGTCCATTGTTACGGCTTATACAAATATTCGCTTCAGGAAATAACTTTTTACCGTACAGACTTTATGGAAGTCGAGTCATTCACATTCGCTTCAATTGATGCTTGACGGTTACATCGAGATTTTTCCGTCTGGGGACCGGGCTATGTTGTTGCCACTAATGGTGTCGTGACTGAACTTAAGTTGGCGTGTCTTCAGCGTGGATACTTAACTGCAACCGAAACATAAATCTTGACACGGTGGCGGCTTAATAGGCAGCATTTTGTTTACATTCATATTTTTACATCCGGTACATGCGCATATTTGGGGCATCAGAAGCGGTTCGACACGCAAAAACAACAATGGGGTTTTGAACTAAAATGCTGCTCACCGTTCGACTACCGTCACGGAGTGAATCAGCGCTCGATCGTAAGGGGCAACGGCTATTGAGGGGAACGTCTATCGTTTTTTTTTTTTCTCACCTGCCCTGACGTTAATTGCCGATGCGAGAGGGATCGTTCCGCAGGTCCCGCCCGTCCCCCGAAGGTCAGAGGCGCTCCGATAATGGCTGAGCGCCCGGCCAGTTTTGTGTCCGCTGACACGGCCCATTATTTTGGCCGGACCGGTACGGCGCGAGGCGACAGGCAGCACCTGAACCCCGTGTCGAGAGGCCCGCGCTGGGCTCGGACGGCCAAAGGGGGACACTGGGAAATATTTTAAACTGAAGACACGCTTTACGAAAAAATAGGCATTTGATAGTTAGCATTATAACTATCCGACTTAGCATTAAAGCATTAGCTTTACCAGATGTTGCCGAAGCGTCATTATTCTTTTCCTCAGGTAAATAGATGTCTGAAATGTTAATTGTTTTCAAAACGGGCTTCGCTGAGGAAACTAAATATTGAAAACAAACATTTTTTTTAACAATTAACATTTTGAAAACAACTAAGTACTAACCCGTTTTGAAAACAATTAACATTTTAGACATAAGCTTAACAGCAAGGTAGCATATGAAATGCAACTTTTCTATTTGCTCGTATTGATGCTGATTCCATTGTAAATAGCGATCAAATTAAACTGTTCAGAGATGTTTGCATTTATTACAGCCCTGACATATGGTGGTTTGCTCCTTGTGAGTCCATTCCGTCGTTGCGGAACCGGAATGTCGCAATCTAAAACCCTTATTAGAGGCTTACATAATGCACCATTTTTCGGTTCTCTGTCCACTTTATTCGATGTTGTCGCTAGGGATTGTAGGAGGTATAGAGTTTTGTGGGCCACCAATCGGATTGAGCATACGGAACTGTGGAGCAGGTTACTTTCAGTCTCTATTTCTGTAAAATATTTTAATATGGCATAGAATTGTGTAGTTGTACAAATTAGGTAGGTTTGTTCAGTTCATTGCTTTTAAGTTATAACAAATGAACAGCGGGCACCACCTACTTGTCTTTGACCCGGATAGTCCTCCCTATGTCCCCTTCGTGTACATAGGCGGCGGAGCGGGGAGGGCACCGGGGAACCGTGCCCCCTTTGATTTTGGCAAGAATGGGACCAAAAGTCGGCAGTGCCCCCAATTAATTGAAGGTGTTCCGCCGCTACTGTTCGTGTACCCCAACCTCGAACAGGAACTGCTGTGGTTGTTTTCAATAGAAAGCACAATTCTAACGAATAGTGTTGTCTATTTCAAACAACCTGCGGTTATCAGAAAATGCTCGGGCCTCGGGCATGGACTACTCGAGGAATCAGGTCGCTACCCACTACAGTTGTATTTTCCTCTTGCTGCCTCGTTCCAGTCATAGATTGCATGGTCGTCTGCCCCGGACACTATAAATAAAAAGTAGGACTATAGGGCTCCCAACGGCTCAGGGAAATCATTTACAACACCGAGATAAAAGACAAAGACACTTCTATTTTGGACTGGTCTCATAGGCGGCGGAACGGGGAGGGCACCGGGGCACCGTGCCCCCCTTGATTTTGGCATTTTAACATTAGCCCTATGGGCGTTGCATGGAAAGAATGGGACCAAAAGTCGGCAGTGCCCCCCCTCCCCTTTAATTGAAGGTGTTCCGCCGCTACTGACTGGTCTCCAGTAATGCCGACCGGTTTACTTACGATTCCATTGTTAATTCAATCGTCCGGGTGTCTTTGAGGCTCATGCCTCGTGAATCTTCGTGCTTATTTCAAGGCAAGAAACTGACTCTCTCGACAATCGCGGACGATCATTGGAGGATTTTGGAAATTGCTATCGGATGTTGCGAATGACGGTTCAGGTCGGAAGGGTCATAGAGATCTCATATAGGGAAGATGATCTCCCAAAAACGTTTGTCGAAACTGAATAAAGTATTTATTTTGGTGGCGGGTGCGGTCGATGCCTTCGGTGGGAATAGGTATGTAAGCTACCATGCCTTCCAAAGCAAACTTATTGAAGACGGTAAGCGAAAAGTTTATCTTACCTGCTTGATAATGGCTAGCTTCATTGAAGTCGGGTGCTGCAAGGCTAAGTAGATGCCTCTTATTCCTGCCCTGTATCCAGAGCGGTCGTAATGTGGTCGCTGCCAGAGACAATACGCAATGCGCATCTCGCAGCAGAGGCGGTTCTCTAGCGCCATCTGGGTCACAGTTCACCGTACCGTCGCCAGGTGTCGGGGCAGTCGGCAGGTCCGCGCCAGGCCGGGTCAGGCATGCCTGAGAGCTCAGAGCTGACGTGACTGGACTGCCGCCGCTGGGTCCTGCTCAGGTGGGCGGCAGGTGTCCTTCACATAGGTGGCGCCACAGTGGGCCAGTGGGGCTGCTCGGCTCCACAGTTCGCAGCAGTTTTTGCAATGC